AGGGGAGAATATGAAAGCTTGTAAAGGTGTGCGGCAATATATTCAAAAGCAATTGTATACAATATACACATATACCCAAAAAAAAGAAAAAGAAAACTCACAAAGGGAAAAGAAAAATCTTTGTCTCGACGAATGAAAGTCAGTGCCTCCAGATGTCTTGTACACATCCAACCAATGCTCATATAACCTTTGCTTAAGATTGTAATTACTAGATTTGGTTTCTAAATCCTGAAATATAATCATTAAAAATATTTAGCATCAACAATCAAAAGAAGAACTTGAGAATTAAAATTTTTGATAAGGATGGAAGATGAACTCACAAAAATAAATCAGATTTCAAAAACTCTACAGATGTAAAAATTAAAATACCTTTAGAAGGCACTCTCCGGTCCCTGACCACTTGCAGTTAGACATCCCTACTGCAGGAACCGCCCATGTATATTTCCATTTCATTTTAGGGAAATTCTCAACCTCTTCTTTTGATAACTTGTGCTCCATGTGTTTGTTAAAAGAACTGCATAAATAGAAGTATAAGCAATAAATCATATGACTATGATCTCTATGGCCAAGTAAAAGCTTCATTCCTTAATTTTATTTTTAAAAGAAACAATTATAATGATAATAATAATAATAAGAGATTAAAAGGCCACAACCACACACTTCCAACCAACATCCTTTTAGTTACAAACCTCTTCCATCGAAAATACCTAAAGAAAATTGAACTCATCAAGTCGCTAAAACTGAACAATCCAACCCAACACCAATGAGTGAGTTGGGAGAATAAGTCCAATAAAATTGATTTGAGTAGAACCAAAACAACTTGAAATCACTAACTAAAAAAATTATTTCACTCTATAAGTCAAGTATTTGAGATCGTTTTTCGTTTCACTGGTTGCCACTTCTGACTTCCCTTTTCACAAAATTTTACGAACATTTGAAAGAACTCTGAAAATAGATAGTTCGCGAATTAAAATTTATACATTAAGTATTGGTGGTTTACTATCTTTTTCAAAAATAAATGACTAAACCAACTCAACCTAGATAGAACCCATAATCTAACGAGAGTCTTTGAGCTTAGGAAAATTTCCAATTCAAACATTTGGAATTGTCTAGAACTCCACCCAACCCAATCAACGAACGCCCTAAATTTAGAATTGAAGAAATCAGTACTATATAGATTAATATCTAAACAAGCAACTATAATTTTTATGTCATTGACTTCATGGTTCCAACTTAAGAAAGGGTTGAATATTTGAAGAGAAATCTATAATATGAGATTAGATCTCAAAAACAAAGGACATGATTTATATGATTCACCATAAAATTATGGACTAACCTAGTTATATCTGATGTAGAAGGGTCACCATGCAAACCAACTTCAAGCTCATTTTCCTGATCTGTGTCAGACCTATCAGATTCAGTGTCTTCTTCAGTTTCGCTGTTTGGCATTGGCTCAGACATATTGTTCCCCAAAGATGAACTTTTAGGTGACTCATCATCAGTCCCTACAATATGGAGAATTTGTATAATGAAATAAAAGCAAAATTATGCAACGGAATGAATCCAAACAATAATATAAAAATAACGTTAGGTCATATAAGTTTCATATAGAAAAGATGATAAAGACGATGTTCAAGTCTTAAACAAAAAGGACTAGTGAAAACTAATAAAAGAAACTTTCTTCGTCATTAAATTTCTGTAATTTGTGTAAGGTACTGTCTTCTAAAAAGAATGAAAAATTACAAAACTTGGCTGTACCAAAGCATAGGTTCAAGCACACACGGGAGCCACCAAAAGAAACCTAGAAGAAACTCCTGGATTTTACTCGGGTTATATTTAAAATTTTGAATATTCTTAAGCCTGACTGGGGATTCAACTCCTTCAATGAAATTTTAGATGACATTCTTAGCAAAAGATTAGAAGCATAATGCTCAAACTTCTCATAACAAAATTGTTGGTCTTCACAATCAATTTTAAGGTCTATCCCCATCAACAGGACAAAACCTCTACTTTACAAAAAGGCCCGAAAAAGAAATGGTGGAAACATGAAAAGAGTTTCCACATTCTGCCATTTAGGATAATGGGCACTATTCTTCATAGTTTAACATACTAACGAGGCTCCAAGCAAAGAACAAAACAGAAAGCCAGGTCAATGAAAAGGTCAAGGTCAAGACCAGCCTCGATTTTCCCCATTGTCAGACTTCTTTATTTGGGAAACAAGAAACAGAGAAAAATGTCATTTCCTGATATTAACATTTACCAACAGGTTCAATAAATAATTAAGTTAAAACCATCAATGCCATAAAACAGCATTACTGGTAAAGATAGTCTAATAGTCTTAGCCATGAGAACATATACCATAAAACAGCATTACTGGTAAAGATAGTCTAATAGTCTTAGCCATGAGAACATATACATCTGTTGACGGTAAGAAGAAGAAAAGTTTTAAAACAATATTGAAACACGTTGTTAGTGTCTTGAGAAACAAAGGACCACTTTGATGACTAGAAGTTCTACAACTAGCCAAAATATTAAAAATCAACGGTCAAAAAGATACTGAAACATAAATAACAATGCCATGAGAAACCCATAAAACTCTTACCTTCCTCTTCTTCCTCTTCTTCCTCCTCCTCCTCCTCCTCTAATGCACTAGAAGATTCAGGACAGCTATCCTCATCATCCTCTGTGTCACTTCTGCCTTCTTCTTGTCTTTGTCTAGGGAAAAACATGGACAAGACAAGGCAAAAAAGAGAAAGTTCAAATTTAAGGCAAATATAACTGCCTTAGCAACTTGCAAAAAGAAATAATAAAAAATAATTTTTAAGTTACAATGGTAATTTGTTCTAAGTGAAGTTTAATAATTCCACGAGCTAAGTAGTATAAAAAGAAATATTGTGTTGTCCAACAACTTGTGTATAGAGCAAACATGTCTCTCTAATGAAAATTTATATGCATAATATATCTGCCAGTACACGATTAACGACTCAAATTAATAAGCATCAGGTCACAACATTAACCACCACTAATCCAAGATCGTCAGAATCAAATTTGATATTCCTCATTTTACGGCCTAGCTTCTAGTTTTTCGTGCAAGATTAGTAACTGGCCCAACTCTCACGTGAGGCTTTCTCTAAATGGCAGGCATCGTGATAGAAACATGGACAGTACAATAATAAATCACGCTTATGCGTGAAATGTAACCCCAACAAATAGTAAAACCCTATTTAATTCATATTTGCGGCAAATTAATGAACCAAGGTATCAAACACAATTCGACAATCTAGAGATAGTAAATATTCTTTAAAATTAGAATAAACCATATCAAATAGCATTTAGTTTTCTAATAATAATAATTCAGTATCAAAATCCAGTTAATGAATACTACCTTTTCATACATGAAGCAGCAACATCCTTATTACATGATTGTAATTGCATTAACAAATTATCATAGTTTGATTGCTCTTTGAAAACTTCAAGCTCCTCGGCCTCACTGGCTCCTACACAAAAATTCACCATAATTGCCCTCGCATATGAAAAGTAAGTGCGCACTAAAGGAAATATAGACACAAATACATCATTGTCAATAAGAAGCAATATATAAAATAATCATCTCAGAACTGTATTTCTTCATGAACTAGCTAAGCAATCAAGCCATATTCCCAACAAAAGAACGAAAGAAAGAGAAGGAAAAATCAAGAATCCTCACCTCGTTTACGAACTAACTGCTTCACCATTGATGAATATTTTCACTGGAAAATTCTGAAAATATGCCCAGCTTCTATGCACACGTCAGGTTCCAATGGTATTGCCTGCTGAATAATTGATCCCTAGTTTTCCACAAGGCTTTATTAGTAGCTATTCTACTGTCTTTAGTTAAAATAATAATAATTAATCAAACAACACCTTCGTTCTTCCATTAGAAGCTCCTAATTTGTATTTTTCAAGTAAGAATAAAGACATGGATGGAGATCGGAAGTATACCAGTAACGACAGAGAGTAAAAAATCAGTGCAAAATCGGCGGCACGAGCGGAAGTAAGACGACGGCGGTGACACTGAGTTGTTGCAGAGAAAGAGACCGCGTTTAAGGAGAATAAAAAGTGGCGGGGAAACGTGCGACTCGGAGGAACATGGAAGAGTTAGGTTTCCTAATTCTTTTATTTACTTCTATATATTATTTGGGATGGATTTTTTATTTTTTTTAAATAGATTAATAAAAATACCGAACTTTATAATTTATTTCAAAACACAAAAAAATATATATCTTTAAACTAATAATACTACTAAATTTTTTAAAAAATCTAAAAAAATTCCTGTAGATTTTAAAAAATCCAATAATAAATTTTGAAAAGTTTTGTAGTACCTTTAAAAATTTTAAAAACTAAAAAAAGACACATTTAAATAGGTTTAAAAGTTAAAAATCATTCGATATTCAGTAACATTAAAAAATTTAGAAAAATTCTATTAGGTATTAATTGACGGTTTTCATCTATATATTGAAGTAATAATTTTTTTTATATAAAAATAAATGACGTTAATGTTACTTTTAAAGTTTTACGCTTTTAATACAATAATAATTGTAAGGTATTTTTAACGGGTTAAAAGAGTTAGAAAAGTATTAATAAAATTTTGTAAAATTTGTCCATATTTTTTAAACACTATAATAAATTTAAAGGTATCTTTTAAATGTGAAGAATGAGTAGTTACAATTACCCAATCAAGATCCCATTTATTAGCCATTTTATTTTAATATTTAAGAGTTTATATATATATATATATATTCCTTAAATTATCACATAATTTTAAAATATATATTTAAAAAATCAAGTTAAATTTAAAAAAATAAAAGTAATATTAGCCAAATTCATAATCACTATTTTATTAATTACTTTTGTGCTGGAACTGTACTGTCAAGCGTTAACATACCATAAGCAAATTGAATTAGCCTAACCCAATTAAGGGGCAAAAAAGGAAATCCAAAAAAGCAAAAGAAAACAGAGGGGAGAGAGAGAGAGAGAGAGAGAGAGAGAGAGTCGCTTGCTTCCTATGGCAAAGCCCCACCGTAGGCTTTTTGGCGGTGTGCTTGAATCATGGACGGTGACCGACCATCCTCTCTCTCTTCATTCGCAGCCAATCCTCACAGAGCGGAAGTCGGCTAACCCATTTGCCAATTTCAATCTCCCGACCAACCGATTTCTTCCCTTTTCATGCTTTAATTTCTTTTTCCTTTTTTTTAATCTTCCATTCAAATGCACAACAATTAAACTATTATGTGAAGAAACGAGGGATTTCATTTCACAGTCAACAGGGAACCCCACCATTCTCATTTACAATTTACAGGTACCCATCTGTTTTTGTTTTTTTGTGTTTTTCTCTTGTTTCATGGTGTTTCTTTGTTTATTTTACTGCATTCTACTGTTCATTTCGTCTAGTTTTATCCTTTACTGTTGTAAATTTGTGATGAGATTAATAGGGTAACAGACTTCTAAAGAATCTTCTGTTTAAACAAGAAAATTCCACAAAATTCATCTGGGTAATGTGGTATTGCGGTGAAAAGGCTAATCCCTGTTGTTTTATCTCGTGGGGTAGTGTTTTTTTTCTTCGTTGTTGTTATAGTTAGTGATATGCACGCCTGTCCTTAATCATTCCCTCCATATTCTCTCTCTGAATTTCTTAATCCTATTATCTCCTCTTCTTCTTCTTCTTCTTCAGCCTCGGTTTTCTCTCTTTGTCCTTGCCTTCTTACTCTCCCCTCCGTTTTCTCTACTGGGTTGTGAAGATTCTACAAATTCCATAAGCTTGTACAAGCTAGGATTCGATCTGGGTGACTGTCTTTTTTTCCTGTTATTATTCTCCAAGTTTTGTTCATCCAGGTACTTCAATATTTTGGCTTCTCATTCTTCATTTTCCTCTTCTCTATCTTGTGCATTAACTATGTTTATCCCTCGTTTTTCTACCAAATGCCATGCATTGGAGTTTCTTAATCATCCAACCATACGTTCCTGTTCACTTCCTTTGTTCCTTGTACCATAGCTTCGTGGGATATGCTTGTCACAAATGATAAAGTACAGAGTTTTTTGTTTGTTGAGCCTGAAATTTTTATTAATAAAACGTTTACTCCTTTACGGTATGTTTCATAAATGACCAGATTTCATAGTTTCATGGGGTTGATTTTGAGATACGAACACTGGGAGGATTTTACCATGTGATGCCAGGAATTGTATATGCGTGTCGTCTTCTATGTTTCGGGGTAGGCTTTCTTTTAGGGATGGTTTTTGTGTGCATTCTTTAATCTCAAGTCGTTATAGTTGCAGGGAACTGAATGTCAAAACTAGTTTAGTGTTGCTTATCCTATGAGTAAGTCCTTGTGACTTCCAAATGTGTTCTACATTTTCTGCCTCTCTTTTAAAATTCAGCTACTTTACATCGTTGTTGAATTGATTGTAATCGCTTGTGCTAATTTGACGACTCACCGAGGTAACTATACCTCAATAGTTCCACTTGTAATAAGATCTCTCTCGACTTCAAACTTGTCTCAATTTAACGATCTGTTACGTTTGTGACCGCTTCGCACTGACTTTATGTAACCAAAAGTGGTAGGTAACAACAACGTTGCGTATATAACATGGCTGTCTCGATGAGAGATTTGGATCAAGCTTTTCAGGGTGCTGGCCAGAAAGCGTATCCTGACATAATGTGAATTAAATAACAATTGAGAAAATCAATTTCTTCCATTTCTTTATTATGTGATTCATTACACTTGCTTCCTCTTTAGCATTTGGAAGTTTCTATTTTGTTTACCTTGACAGTACATAGTGGGCTTGAAGTATGGCGCATCGAGAATTTTCGTCCTGTTCTAGTACCAAAAGCATCTCACGGAAAATTTTTCATGGGAGATTCCTATATAGTCCTGAAGGCAAGTGGTTATCGTTTGATCGTTTACTACGCGCTTTTATTTTAATAGGTATCCTTAACACATAGTACCATAATAAGGTGGCACTCAATCTTTCTAGTGATTCATGTATATAACTTTGCAGACCTCATCCTTAAAAAGTGGTGCTTTGCGGCATGATATTCATTATTGGCTTGGTAAGGATACCACTCAGGTAAGCTCTAATCATTCAGTAATTGTCTGGTAGTTATCTCTTGGTTTTCAAATTTAATTTTTAAGACGTGTCGATATAGGATGAAGCTGGTAGTGCAGCCATCAAAACTGTTGAATTGGATGCAGCCCTTGGAGGACGTGCTGTTCAGTACCGTGAAGTACAAGGTCACGAAACAGAGAAGTTCTTATCATATTTTAAACCGTGCATTATACCACAAGAAGGTGGAGTTTTGTCTGGGTTCAAACACGCAGAGGCTGAAGAACACCAGACTCGGTTGTATGTTTGCAAAGGAAAACGTGTTGTTCATGTTAAAGAGGCAAGTCAAACCTCAGATATGCAGGCTGATAAGGAATTAACTTCACATTTATTCTTCTTTTTTGGTCATTTTATAAGTTGTTCATTCCGATGGCAGGTTACTTTTGCTCGATCTTCGCTTACCCATGATGATATTTTCATTCTCGATACCAAGTCTAAAATATTCCAATTTAATGGTTCCAACTCATCCATTCAAGAGAGGGCCAAGGCATTGGAAGTAGTTCAATACATTAAAGATACGTATCACGATGGAAGATGCGGAGTAGCTGCCATTGGTAAGTAAACAGAACTTTAGTATCCCATTGCTTAAAATAAAAAATATTTATTTCATTTATTAATTTTGTTATAACAAGTTTAGTTTCATAAACTTGAAAGCTCATAGTTTCTATGGTATCATGTTGCTAATAATCCAATCATATCTATTGTCATACAGAGGATGGCAAATTGATGGCAGATGTTGATACTGGAGAATTTTGGGGTTTATTTGGTGGTTTTGCTCCACTTCCAAAACGAGTAGGCAGTGAAGGTGATAAGATGGTCGATTCGCATCCAATTAAACTACTATGGTATAAAATCATTTTCAGGTTATCACTTCAAAGTTATCAATAAGTTTTGCTGGAATAAAATCATATTTGCTTCCATGATCTCTAATTTTTGTAGTGTTGAGAAGGGTAATAGAGAATCTGTTGAGGCCGATTCTATAGCTAGGGAGCTGTTAGACACGAATAAATGTTATATTCTAGATAGCGGGGCGGAAGTTTTTGTATGGATGGGGAGAAATACCTCTCTTGATGAAAGGAAAGGTGCCAGCAGAGCTGCAGAAGTAATTTTCTGAACCTCCCTAGTTCATTGATCTATGTTTATCTGAGGACTTGAGTTTCTTATATTTCTTCTTGTTAACAGGAGCTAGTCAGTGATCCTGATCGTCCACAATCACATATAATGCGTGTGATTGAAGGCTATGAACCTATAATATTCCAAGCCAAGTTCGATTCATGGCCAGAAACAACTGATGTAGGCGTATCGGAGGATGGTAGGGGCAAAGTTGCAGGTTGGTAAATGAAGAAATTGTTTGATTCAAGGTTCTTTGAGTAGATCTTTTGGGTTAATTTCCCCTGTTTTTTTTTTTTTTTTTTTTTTTTTTTTTTTTTGTTATCTTTTAGCACTTTTGAAACGTAGAGGAGTTAATGTGAAGGGTCTTTTGAAAAATGATCCTGTAAAAGAGGAACCTCGACCTTACATTGATTGTACAGGAAATCTACAGGTAAATATGGTTAGAAAATCGCTACCCTGTTAATAATCACCATAAATGATTTACCTAATGATGTCAGCTCCCTAATTTTACAGGTCTGGCGTGTCAGCGGCGAGGAAAAACTTCTACTTCCCGTCTCTGATCAGTCAAAATTTTACACTGGAGATTGCTACATTTTCCAATATTCCTACTCCGGAGACGACAAGGAAGAGTTTCTCGTCGGAACATGGTTTGGGAACCAGAGTGTTGAGGTAGTTAACATTTTCATCCCAAATTCCTTTCAGTCACCCCTGTTAGGATTGTATAACAATGCACAGTCTCGATCTAGATGAACACAAATAACAGAAGAGAGAAAATGCAAGTAGGAATATTGGCTAGAGGTTTATATTAATGCGACTTCAAGTATGTACAGTAAGAGAGAATACAAAGAATATAGAAGGTACATACTTGAAGTCATCAATATAAATCTTTAGCCAATATTCCTCGCATTTTCTCTCTCTTATTCTTTGTGTTCATCTAAATCGAATGTGTTGTTGTGAGATCCTAACAACTGGTATCACTTCATAGATCGTGGTGAATCTCGCCTAACTTTGATACCAGTTGTTAGGATCACACAACACACACTCGATCTAAATGAACATAAAGAACAAGATGCAAGTAGGAATTTGGCTAAATGTTTATGACTTTAAGTTTGTATAGTAAGAGAGAATACATAAAGTATATACTTGAAGTCATCAATATAAATCTTTAGCCGATATTCCTCCGTACATTTCCTCTCTTTTATTCTTTGTGTTCACCTAGATTGAGTGTGTTGTTGTGCGATCTTAACAACCACCTCAACTCCCCTGTGAGTACACAAATGAAAATGGATCATGTCGAACTAGGTATAGTGACGCTTTGACTATGTCACGTTTGAAGCATCAAAATATTTGAATAATGATTTGTGAGAAGTTGTTTAAGGCAACATTTTCTATAGGAAAAGTTGTAAGCATAAAAAGATTTTTCGTGGCATGTCCAGGTTCGATTCTATGTATTTATCATTTATTTTCGTAAGGAATATCTTGTAAGTGCATTTCCTTTTGAAATAGGAAGAAAGGGCTTCTGCTCTATCGCTCGCCGCCAAGATGGTCGAATCACTGAAGTTCCTGCCTGTTCAGGTATCTTCCGCGATTTGTATGTTTTGCTTAATTAGTTAAATTCATTTCATCTAAATTATTTGTCGTCTCTAATTAAAGATATCGTCCGTTTCAAATTACTAGGCTCGAATTTACGAAGGATTTGAACCAGTCCAGTTCTATTCCATTTTCCAGAGCTTTATCGTTTTTAAGGTATGTTTGCTTCTTGAGATTAAAATTTTCTTTATATTGAATTTTTTCCTAAAGTTGACTGATAAAAAATTTTGCAGGGTGGGATGAGTGATGGCTACAAGAATTACATTACAGAAAACGAAATTCCAGACGTGACGAATTCAGAAGACGGTGTTGCATTGTTTCGGGTCCAGGGCTCTGGCCCCGAGAATATGCAAGCAATTCAAGTTGAAGCAGTACGTTGCCCTCGCCCCATGGTCTTGCACTTTCATCCTGTGCATACTTCAGCTAATATACACATTGTTGTTTTTTTGTTCTTTTGTTCCCATCAGGTCGGATCCTCTTTGAATTCCTCTTATTGTTACATTTTACATAGTGGCCCTACTGTTTTTACTTGGTGTGGAAGTCTTACCACCCCTGATGACCAGGAACTTGTTGAAAGATTTCTGGATGTGATAAAGGTGATAGTTATACGCCCTTATGGACACAATATTCATGGATGGTTGAGTTCCTATGATAAGGATCATTGAGTTACTTCTTACTTTTCAATGATGTACCCTTTTGAATCAAGCTGCCATTAGAACATGTAAAATCATTTGTTGTTCATTAAAGGATTTTGGGCAAATAGTCTCCCGGTGCCGAAGGCAAACGCTATTGGATACGTTCTCGACCATCAGAATATTTCTTAACCATGCATTAATTACTTCGAAAATTCTTTTCTGCTCTCGTTCAGCCCATCTCGACATTCGAGTTCATCTCTCGAGATTTCTTCTCATATAAATGCCCAATTTTCTGCAGCCTAATTGTCAATCTAGGCCACAGAAGGAAAGCACAGAGTCTGAACAATTTTGGGAATTGTTGGGAGGAAAATTGGAATATCCTACTCAAAAAATTGCTCGGAATAATGAGAGTGATACACACTTGTTCTCTTGCACTTTTTCAAAAGGTTTGTATCAATTAATACTCTTTCATCATTATTGTTCTTGTTTTTGTTTGTTTACATCTCTAACTTTGTTCATAACTTTGTTCATTATGGTGGCATCTTGCAGAAAATTTGAAGGTATTCTCTTTTTATCTCGTTCTTGTAATGTTTTCGAAGAACGTATATCGTAAATCGTTCTTAGTTTCGTGTTTTGATGTTATTGCAGGTTGCAGAGATATTCAACTTTCGCCAAGATGATCTGATGACGGAAGATATTTACATTCTTAGTTGTCACTCTGAGATCTTTGTTTGGGTTGGCCAACAGGTTGACCCCAAGACTAAACTGCATGCTTTACAGATTGGTGAGGTACGTCCATCAGGAGATTGAATCCCTTTTTGAATTTTATTGTCACTCAGTCTCTTATGTCTGCTATAAATGATTTTTACAATTTTACTTCTTTTCCATATTCTTGACAGAAATTTCTCGAGATTGATTTTCTTCTCGAAAAATTATCACGTGAAACTCCGATATATATCGTTATGGAAGGGAGCGAGCCACCATTTTTCACACGTTTCTTCTCGTGGGATTCTGCAAAATCCGCTGTAAGAATTTTATGCCAATTGTGTGTATGATCATCTGTATTCCGAAGCTCAGACGATAATCCGTTTCTTTTAATTATTCGAATACAGATGCACGGAAATTCGTTTCAGAGAAAGCTTGCATTAGTCAGAAATGATGGTACTCCTGCTGTAAATGTAAGTCATCTCTTGTTTTCCTATCTAATTAGCCTTAGCTTAAGCTTTTGAGTTCAATAATAAGTAAGACAATATTTGAATGGACCTTTAATCAGAAACCGAAGCGGAGAACTCCTGTAATGTATGGAGGGAGGTCGAGTAGTGTGCCCGAAAAATCACAGCGCTCACGGAGTGTGTCGTTTAGTCCCGATCGAGTCCGTGTGAGAGGAAGGTCGCCTGCTTTCAATGCATTAGCTGCAAATTTTGAGAACCCAAGTGCTAGAAATCTATCTACTCCTCCACCAATGGTTAGAAGATTATACCCAAAATCTATTACTCCTGATTCATCAAAGCTGGCTTCTAAAAAGGCAGTCATAGCAGCACTTAGTGCAAGCTTCGAACAGCCACCACCCGCTCGAGAATTTATCATACCTCGCTCTTTGAAGGGTACAAGTTCATTCAAGTTTCACCACAGTTTGTTCTCGTTCATCACGATTTTCCTAACTTTATTGAATTAATGGGTTTCTTTTGGGAGCCTAGGTGCCTCGAAGCCGAAACCCGAGTCGGATAATAAAGAGAACTCCAAGAGCAACAGATTAGGATCTCTTACTATACAGGAAGATGTGAAGGAGGGTGAAGTTGAAGATGAGGAAGGTCTCACAGTACATCCGTACGAGTCCCTTACGACACTGACGAGTACTCCAATTCCAGACATCGACGTGACGAAGCGAGAGGTAACCATTCATTGACAAAACCATTTGATGGAAACTAGAAATATCGTTAATCTACATCGAGTTCTGATGCGTGGAATTGGAAACGTGCAGACATACCTGTCCTCGGCGGAGTTCAAGGAGAAATTTGGAATGACAAAGGATGAGTTCTATAAGCTACCGAGATGGAAGCAGATCAAACTTAAAATGGTGTTACATTTGTTCTAGAGCTCCTTGTTTAACAATGCCTTTGATTGCTCGTCTTTGAGGTTTGGTTGCCAGTAGCAGTGTTCGTTCGTTGTAACGATATCGGTTCGTGTTCTATAAACCGATACTCTAATCGATTGCGCCATCATTCTGATCGTCCGCAGCTGTGCAACTCAGAGTTCTTAATGGAGAGCATCAGTGCATTTTAAGCTGTCTCTGCTCCCAAACAAAACTCAGAGCTGTTCTTTAGTGGTTTGAATGTGTCTAGAGCTTTCACTAGCAGTTGAGTTAGTTGTGTGATTATTTGCTTTGAAAATTGGTTTGGTTTTTGTTTATCTAATTCTTTTTTAATTTGATTTTGTTTTCTATTTTTTTTATTAAAAAAAAAAAAAAAAAAAAAAACAGAGAGAGAGAGAGATAGCAATTACTTTTAGTTGTATTGATTGATGGCTGAGGATGGAATCATGTACAGACAGCATTGTATAAACCAGTCCTCTCATTTTTGTTCTTTTTTTTTTTAAATAAAAATTTATTATTTTTTAAAGTAATTTCCTCATTTATTACGTTTGAAAAGAATTTGAAAATATTTTTTAATAAATACTAATATATTACTGATACATCAATACCACATGTAAAATTATATTTACATTTTGTTAAAGTCAGAACTATAAACGATGTCGCAATTGTTCCCGTCAACGATTATCGTAACATTTTTTAAGTTGGTAAAAATAAAGTTGTCAATAAGACCAAATTGAACTTTTAGTTGGATCTCTACGATCCACAAGGGTGGTGAACGACCATGCCTAGGATTCAACACCTTTGTGCAGGCGTTCCCTGCTACATGATCATGTTATTTACTTCTCACTTCTAAAGAGTGAAAACTATATTCATCATAAAATTGCGTATTTGACACAAAAAAGGAAAGTGCATACTATTGGTATAAGTACTGACTTTCAGTTATTTTCAAGTCTTTCTTAGTTATCCTATCCTCACGATCACTCTCGTTCGGATATAGTCTCGATTCATTCATGTATCATTCTTTTACTCAAGTGCCACGAATAGTTGAAAGAACTCTTGTATCAATAAAAAATCAATGGATTGTTGAAAATGAATCGTAGAATTAGTCTCGAGATGAAGGCGAGATTGATGGAGAAATGTATATCATGGCTTAAATGCAACGGGCCAAAACAAGAAGAAACGAAAGACGTTGAAAAAAAAGAGGTATATTAGTAATATATGGGTGTAAATAAGTTATCATATTTCATTAATATATGTGAAATAAAGTATATTTCATTAATATATGTAAAATAAAGCATATAATACAGTTCATATTAATAAAAAGAAGGAAAGCGCTGGGTATATAAATAATGTTTGACTAAGTCAAATTTGCATGGGATTATAGATCATGAACCGGAAAAGCCTGTGAGTGAGAGTGATTATCGCATATAAAAGAAATTCGAGGAGAATGATTCGCGACCAGGAAACGATTGCTACAATTCCAGTGACATTCGGATTCACATTCAGATTCACATTCAGATTCACATTCAGATTCATAGATGAAGCGCACAGTAGGTGAATCGTCGTCGTCGTCTTCTTCTTCTCCTCAGGCGACGTCTTCTTCTTCTTCTCAGACGACGTCTTCTTCTAACGTCTCCGCCGCAGCCGCAGCCGCCGCCATTGCCGACTCTCCTATCGGAAGCGTCGAGTTTACCACTGACAGTAATGGTTTGGAGAAGGTGATTCTCCGTGGGCCCCGTCGCAGTTCCGCTGAGGTACCGCGTATATTCCGTCTCCCACAAGAAACCGATCGCGACTAAATTTTGATTTTAGGATTCCGTATCGTATTGCATGTTGTGCGAATCTTCAATTGCGATGGAATTCAAGACTGATTTTCTTGCATGCTTTCTCCGGGTTGAATATGCCATTGCAATCGAATTCATGCATGCTTCCTGGTTTGAATTAATCTGCCATTGCGATCGAGTTGAAGAATCATTTTCATGCATGCTTTTCTGGTTTGAATCTGCCATTGCGATCGAGTTCAACAATCATTTACATGCATGCTCTTCTGGTTTGAATCTGCCTTTGAGATCGAGCTCGAGTTCAAGAATGATTTTCATGCTTTCTGGTTTGAATTAATCTGCCATTGCGATTGATTTCAAGAAGCATTTTCGCTTTTCGTGCGCCAAAAGCTCTATCAATAACTTCCATGCCGGACTGATTTCTTTTCTTTCTCCTATCAATTTACTCATACACATTTCTTTAATTTGCAGAATGAAAAGAACATTTTAGATTCAATTACATATCTTAATCAAGAAAGTCAATTAGATTTCAAAGTATTCAAAATGTGGCGACGTCTTTTGCAATTTCTAGTACGTTAATGGAAGAAAAGGAAAAATTACTCATAGGAATTTTTTGTTCTAATTTTTATTGACGTGTTAATTTGTGGTTATTCTGTCTGAGTACCGTTTTGGCTAGGTGTTGTTGTACGGAGGTCAGGTGTTGTCTTGGAAGAATAAATTGGGAGAGGAATTGCTTTTTGTGAGCACAAAGGTAACTAATGAACTAATCTTTTCTTTGAGTTAAATTAATGAATTAATTCGATTCGCGCCATTATTGTTATTAGATTTTGAAATGAAGAGGTCGAATCGAATGCAGGCTGTGTTTGCGCCTCCGAAGCCAATTCGCGGGGGAATTCCGATATGCTTTCCTCAAGTAGGTGTAAAAATTTCCATTGTGTTCGTCAAAATCAAAATTGTTGTGGTTTGGGCGGTGAAGAAAAACAAAACTCTCTTCGCTACAGTTTCTCAACAATGGTATGATAGAGCGACATGGATTTGTGAGGACGAGATTCTGGAGAATCGATTTGGATCCCCCTCCTCTCCCTACCGCTGCACCTTGCAGCTCTTACATCGACTTGATTCTCGACGAACAAGATCGCTGGACATGGCCTCACAAGTAAGATCCCTTTTTATTATTCTTCTTCTTTCTTTTCAATTCATGTTTTCATTCCTATTAATTTTCGTCTGCAATCAGATATGAATTTCGTCATAGAGTTGCTTTGGGCTACGAAGGGGAGCTGCGATTGACATCACGTATCAGAAACATAAGGCCCTCTGGAAAGCCGTTTTCCTTTACTTTTGCTTACCTTCCCTATTTGTTTGTTTCTGACATAAGGTTTGGGGCTTGACTTTTTGCTCACTATCTGTTTCTTGAAATCATTTGGTTTCAAACTTCATACATATGTCACTTTCATTCACTCGTCCGATTGGGACGGGTTTCTGTGCGCAGTGAAGTACGTGTGGAGGGAGTGGAGACGCTCAACTATCTTGACCACTTGCAGGAAAAGGAGCGTATAACTGAACAAGCCGATGCTATAACATTTGAATCGGAGGTTACTCTCTCAGAACTTTCTTTACTCTTTTTAAGAACACCAATACTGTTTATGAGATGAATTAACGAATTCTTTCTCATTAACATACGGAGATTTATATTCATAATTAACATTGTTTGATATTCACCAAGACAAACTCTTTCATACATCGTGTGTTTGGTTGTTTGTTAGGTGGATAAGGTATATGTATTAACCCCAACAAAGATCGCAATTTTGGATCACGAAAGAAAGAAAACCATTGAACTGCGGAAAGATGGGCTTTTAGACGCGGGTAATCTAGTTCATCACATGCTGTATTTTAATATTCTTTTATAAATTATAATATGCGTTCAATACACATTATATTATATATAGTTGTGTGGAATCCGTGGGACAAGAAGGCAAAGGCGATAGAAGACTTAGGAAACCAGGATTACAAGAAAATGGTTTGTGTGGGAGCTGCTGCTATTGAGAATTACATCACACTGAAACCTGGAGAAGAGTGGAAAGGAAGAATGGAACTAAACTTTGTTCCTTCTAGCTACTGTAGCGGCCAACTTGATCCCCAGAAAGCCCTCTTAGGTGTTTAAGTAGTTCTTCATCATCAAATCCGGTGAGTCTATATTGATTAATTTGCTGTGTCATGGTGTCAGATTTTACCATTGCTAACCCCTGAAGTAATAATAACCTCTCCTCTCTTTGCTGTATTTGCAGATCCCAATTGCAAGATTCGTTCTCTCTCTCTCTCTCTCTCTTTTCTCCTTCACATGGTGGAAGAAATTGAAGCGAAATAGTAATGGTGATGGAAGTTTTGAGATTTTGAGGAGAAGGCAAATACAGCGAAGAATCTTTAGGATTTGGTACATTTCTTCTGTCTGTTTTAGTGTTTAATAAAGACGTAAAGAGAATCGAATGAAGAAATATAGTTTTGATCTAAGCTTTTGTGTCTAATGCTAAAAAGTAGTCAAAAGTTTCGGTGAGGGGAAGGACACAATGATGACATCCTCCCACAAGACAAAATGGGTTACGGTACGGAGCAGCACGCACGTTCAGTAGTGTGATCGTATTAACTTTAAGCACACCATCATTTCATCATCTCTTATCTCTTTCTGGTCAAGCAAGTAACTTTTTCTGTTTGTTATGGCATCTCTCCATCCACTAACACACACAGTCCTTCCTCTTCAAAAATGCCTTTTCTTCTAAATTGACTCACCACCGGCAGTAAAGCTGCAGACACAAATAAAAGGGTACAGAAAAGAAGACAATTTTTGTTCTCTTTGTCCCACTTGATTTGCATCTCTGATATGACACTGTTTCTTTCATTGCCTGGAATTGGATGTTTCCCTGTGTTCCTTTCTTTGCTTGACTTGCAGTGGTCATCATCACCAGTTTTTTAATATAAATTGTCAAGCTTTGGTTATGATGTTGAGCGTCATCAACAGTCTCTGCTCCTACCTTTTTTCTGTTCTTCTCTGATGTTAGAATGCATAATAGTTTCAATATCCTTTTGAGATGCTTTGTTGTAATTTTGCTCAACTTACAAAATTTCTATCTGGAGTTGGAGTAGAAGTGTAGAACACCCTAATACTAGAATCTCAATTGGTTGGAAATGTATTAATGTGAACAAACCTGTTTTTCTTTTTGCAAGTTTTGGAATGATAGATACAAAACTTGTCATCTTCTCTGCTACTTGAGCTTTAAACTTTGAAAGAGCCAATGTGGCCGTTTTGTTTCCTGATCACATGTTGCACTTGAGCTGCTCATGGGGGTGGTTGGGTCACTGCATTCTTCTCCTCTTTCTGATTTGAATGACAAAGATGAATCAATCTCTCTATCCTTATGAGTAATAGGAGGAAAGGATTTTGATCTCTTCTTGCTTAGACTTCCTCCTCCAATACTTAGAGTTAGCTCAACATCACTGTCTTCTTCACACCCATCTATGCACTGCATCTTGTTACTTTTCCTGGCTATCGTCGGAGTGCTTGGCCTGGCTTGGTCCTCGTCAACGGTACTAATGCCAGTCGACATGTCCTCTTCTGCTGGCCTTTCAAGATCAAAGCCTCTTGACATTCTCATGTTGTCTCCAGAACAGCTTCCACTTCTCTCTCTACTACTTGGATCAAGATTGAAAATCAGCCCCTCTCCAGCGGTCTGTGTTGTTGAAGTTTCGCGGTTGTTGAACTGTAAGTGGTTAATTCCTGAACTTGCCATTGGACTCCCTAATGTGTTTTGCTTGGTTTCTTTCCTCAGCTCTTCCATCAACATCTTCTGGACACTGTACAGCCGATGGAGTTCCTTCACCTACAAAACAAACGTTATCTACTTGAGTGGTTGCTGATATAACAAATGAAACAGAAACCAAAGGATAGAATTGAAATGTTCTATTACCTGATTCTTGAATACATTGTCATGGAGCTGCATTGTGTTTTTAATGGCTTCAACGTCTCCTTTCTGCAGCATCTTGTTCAGTGCTTCTTGAAACTTGTCAAGTCCAGTACTCATGGCAGCAGATGTCGTATAGAATTTAGTTGAGTAGCCCTGGAAATGCTGCCACTCATTCACTCTTTGAACTGTGAATGCGTTGCTGCTGCTGCTGTGGGCAGAGGTGGTGGGTAGAGGATTGAAAGTGGGTTCAAATCTTGTTCCCATGCCTGAAACCAAATGGACAACAAAGCCACAACTTTGACAAACCATTCTTGAAACCCACAAAGAAAATTGTCAAAAAAAAGTCATCTTTGACAATTAAGCACAAGCTTTTCCTCTCTCTCTCTCTCTCTCTCTCTCTCTCTCTCTCTCTCTCTCTCTCTCTCTCTCTCTCTCTCTCTCTCTTTCTCTCTCTCCACAAGAGAGAGAGAGAAACAGAGAGAGACAGAGAGAGATTTACATGTAATGGAGGCAGTTATAGCGAGGTAGAAGTCAAATTCTAAGCCAATCCAAATCAAATGTATAGGCTTGGCTAGTCTAGAAGTAAAGAAAATGTTATAATTTCAGGGCTTTCATGGTTTCTTGAACTTGGAAAAGCACAATCAAACAGTGAAGAAACAATGCCAGAAAGGAAGAAAGAAAGAAAGAAAAGGGATTCAGATCCCTCTCTCTCTCTCTCAATATCTGGTGGGCATAAAAATGTGTCCACTTTCCTTCCCATAAGCTCATAAAACATCTTAATTCTATTGGAGGAATTTCTCAGAAAACACCTGAAGTACAGGGTTGAAAAGATAAGGCAGCCTAAAACCACTGACATTGAGCAATCCCCAGCAATACTATGGAGAAAATCCCAGTTCCAACAGAAGAGAAAGAAATTAAACAAAACCCTGCACAGAGAAAATGAAGAAGAAATGGATGATGGTAGTGACCTGATAGAGAAAGATGGTGGATGTTGATGATAGTTTGTTCTTAGGAGACTCATTGAACATCTCTTGCCTTCCTCTCATTCATGCCAATGCTTTGCTGATCAACAAAAACAAACGGAGTGCCCACCTCCCTGATGAATCATAATAATAATTCAGGTTTTGAAAGGACAAAACCCACTCTCTCTTCTCTCCTCTTAATAATTCAGGAGGTACACAATAAGAAACTGTGGATCTCCTTCTCTATCTAATATATATATATATATTTCTTTTATATTATTCTTGGTGTCCTTGAATGTGTTGTATAATATATATATATATATATATATATATATATATATATATATATATATATATATATATATCTAAGGAAGATCAAAGAAAAAGATATTCCAGACAGACAGCTCTCCCATCCCCTTTCAAACATTTGCATCAATGCTGCAAAAAAGCTTATTATCATTATCATTATCCTTCCTTCCTTCCTTCCTTCTCCCCCTTTTTCATGGAACACTGAAAACTTCCTAATCTCTTCCTCTCTCTCTCTCTCTCTCTCCATTTATTTATATCACCTCAACTCTCATCATCCACTCTTACTCAAAACACTTGGGACACAATTGATTTATTAATTTTCTAGAGCATGCGATTAGTTATTAATTTTTCAATTCGGAATTATATGTCATTCATACTATTATGTTGCTTTTTTGTTTACGGTCTATAACATTGCTTTCTTTATTTCTCTCAAATCTTACTTTCAAACTCTCTTTCCAAAATAATTGTGTGCTTTTGTTTTTTAAAACATTCTTCTTGAAGCGGGGCTAAAGTCTTGAATACATGTTTTGAAGGCGCACGATTTTAAGTTGGCTGACTCACTCAATGGTGAGAGTAAGTCACAATCGTTTACGAATGTTATGTGAGACCGCGATTGTGACATTGAGCTTTTATATTAGAATTTTAAGCTAAATTTTATAAATGAAATTTAGTTGTTAAAAAATAAAAAAGAAAATATATAATTTAAAATAGTATTGATAAAGTAAATTTAAAAATAATAATATTCTTCTATTATGAAAATATCTAAACAATTTGAGGTGGGGGAGGAGAGAGAGAGTGGAAAAAAAACAAACTTTTGAACGTTTTTCTCTGTTTAGTAATAATACATTTGAAAGGCTATGTTTTTTTTTTTTTTTTTTTTTTTCTTTTT